ACTAGAGAGCTAAAAATTGGTATATGGGTAAAAAATGAAAAAACAATCATCTTTTTTCCTTTACGATTTTCGAAATTTCGAGCAATAACTGCTTGGACAGGGAAGAAAAATCACTTGATCGGTCATATGCATGTCATTTGGCATCATTTTCAAAGCACAACCTAATGGAGATATCGAAAGTTGCTTGAAGAGATGAACAAAAAAAAATCCCATTTGATGCGGACTTTATGTGTGACACTGTATAAACAGATGAAAATAAGTAGATGAGATTATTGTTTCAACATCAATTTTCATTCATAATCAGTGTATGAGCTACGATACATGATACTTCGTGATTTGGTAGAAATCAAGATCTTTGAAAACCTTCTGATATACCAATATCATACCAAATATTTCAAAAATGCATTAATAATTTGGTGATATTATTTCGTAATCTTCTGGTGTTAAATGTACGGGCAGTTTCTTTTATCATGTGGTAACATTGCTATATTCTAAACCGTAACAGATACGAAGACGATTAAATGAGAAAAAAGGGAACTGTCATCGGGAACAATACAATGACGGGGACTCTCGCCCTTCTCGAGTTATACGTGGAAAACCAAAAATGCTGTTTTTCGTTTTTTTTTTTCGAATGGAATTGTTATTTCGGAAAGGAAAAGGAAAATTGTATTCGAAGTGTACTATGACAATGTAATAATGAATATTCGATAAAAAGTTTCGTGTCTACATGACCACCATCAACTTTTTTTTAAATACGGACCTGTATTTTTCATTACAGATATTGATGAAGCCATAAATTTACAATCCGAGGGTATATCACATTTGATATTTTTATAGCGTTTCATTTGAAATAACTACCATCATCAGTGACAACAATTTTAAATTACGGTCCTGTCATTACTTCTTTTATGAATTGTTTCGATTTCTTCAAAATATAATTCCGATAACCCAATAAATTCGACAGGTAGGTACCTTAACACAATGAAAATTCGTACTTTTTTGTTTTGGAAATTTTTGTATTGCCGTAATCCTTCTTTCAAGGCTTATTTCTCCCTAATCAATTATAATTCTTAATATTTTCATAATTCTCAATCCTGGAAGTAACAAAAATATCAGATTTTGGTCAAAATTCAATTGTTGTATAATTTGGTATGATCAAATTACATCTCAATTCATTTTCCATCTTAAACGCGAAGACTTTGCTTGGTTTCTATGGCAGGAAAAATTAATGCGTTGTTGAGAATTGTAAGACGTTTATGAACATATCAAAAACCTATTGAAATGATGAAAGGACTGATATGCTATTTAGTTATGCAAAATCAAATCGAAATTCTCTTTTGGCCTGGAATATGTAATATGTATGTTGAGCTATACCCGAATCGTCGTATTCCGAACATCCAAATGTTTGGACGATTAGAAGGGAATTTGAGGGACTAGGTTGCATTTGACAGGAAGAAAACAAGAAAATGTGTGGTTACTGGAAGTGTGAGGAATCAAATAAATGTTATGGGTAAGCATATATTACCACATAAAAATTTACACAGTGAAAACATCTCTTTTTATAATTTAGGATTGGCCAGTTACAAAAATTATGCTAATCAAGATTGTTCTTTACGAGAAATTGCCCACGAAATTGGGATTTCTGTAAAATCCACCAGAACTATTTTGAGAAAAAAACAAATATAAATGCTACGGGATACGCAAAGTTCATCACCTCAATGAAAGGAATTACGGAAGGAGAGTACGATTTGCGAATAGGGAAGTTGAAAATATTTGTAATATCCATTATATCCATTGTAGGTGGGGGAACCAATTTCCAAGAAAAGTTCGGAATAAATGTTTGGTTGGGAATTGTGGGAACAAACATCCTTGGCGGTTTCTTTTACGATGATCATTTGAATAGTGAAATGTATCTTCATTTTCTATTCAATGAATTCAATGGCTACTTAGATGAATTGCCACTGAATATCCATCATGAAATACAATATTTTCAAAAGAATGGCGCTCCTCCCTTTAATGCAGTAATAGAGGGAACATTTAGATTCAATATTCCCAAGAAAATGGATTGGAAATGATGGTCTGATTAACTGGTTAGCGCGATCCCTAGATCTTACTCCTTTAGATTTTTTGTTTGGGGATACATAAAGGATAAGGTTTTTTCAACACCAATTACAGATATCGACCATATCGAACAAAAAATAAGAGATTCATGTATTAGTATTACATCTATTATGCTAGAAAATTGCCACAGAAATTGTCTGGACCGACAACTTATGTGCATTCAACAAAGAAGTCGTCACTTCGAGCATTTAATGTAAATTGCCATGTAGCTTTGATATTCCGTACTGCTTTCATTTTCCCAAAAGTTCATGATAAAATAAATTGTTTTTCTGTTTGATTGTTGACACTGATGATGGTGGTTATGTCAAATGAAACGCTAGAAAAATATCAAATGTGATATACCCTTGGATTGTGAACTCATCGCTTCATCAATATCTGTGATAAAAGAGACAGGTCCGTATTTAAAAAAAGTTGATGGTGACCCTGTTGACACGAAACGTTTCATCGAATATTCATTATTACATCGTCATAGTACACTTCAAATACAATAACATTTTTATTTTTCATTTTCTGTTATGATCCGAAATAACAATTCTATTCGAAAAAAAACGAAAAAGAGCACTTTTGGTTTTCCCCGTATAACTCGAGAAGAGCGAGAGTCCCCGTAAATTTTCTTCGACCATTGTATTATTCCCGATGACAGTCACCTAATTAATTAGGCTATTGAATGATTGCAGATCGCCGTTTTATCTAATGGCTCGAAACGTAATCAGCTCAAAACATTGGCAAGAAATCAAGTATGAAAATAGTAAACATCTAAATATATGTTGCATACTGTTACGAAGCATTACTGTAATTGCTAAATGTGTATTTTGTGCGTTGCTTCAAATTTATTTTCGTTTGTAATTTATTATCGTGAGAAAGGTCATGTTGATTTGAGTTCACAATTTTTTTTTACCAGAATGATCAAAACTATCATAAAATATTCATCAGTTTGCCGAAAGATTTCATTAATTCCTCGCCAAAGTTTCATTCATGAGGTTGTGAGTAATCTGACTGAATTAGAATGTACTAACTTTGACAAGTAGCTCTTTAAATTTGATAAATACAGGGTCTTTCACGACGAACGTTCGTTAGGAATATATGGAGAACGATTCAAAATAAAAACTTGAAATTTTGTGGTAATGAGTTTTACAAAATGGCCTTCTCAACTAAAATATTTTCAACTTCTGGTCTCTTTTCGTTATACCGAAAGTTGATGGCAACTTCCTTATTTCAAATGGAACACCCTGTATTTTATTATATTTTTGAATTTCTCAGCACATTTTAAGCCCACTTTGTATAACAATGCCTATACCCAAATTTGTTAGTATTCGAAATATTTATTTTTTTCTGAAAAATTTGACAGTTACAGCACCAATCCGAAAAAATAACTCATTGACAGTAACAGTTGAAAATGTGAAATTTCACAAAATCACACCTTAAGCATCAAGTCATGAACAGGTCCATGAAATTTTCGAAAATAATTCACAGGGTGGTCGAAATTTCCACCTAAAACATAACATCGAGAAAACTGATGAAACACGTTTTTTTCAAATGGAAACTATACCCTATTCTATTATTTTTGGATACTACGAAAAAGAAGATATCAAATTCATGGAGAATGTCCTTCTTATACCAAATATTTTCCAAAATCGGATATAGGTATCTTGCCAGGGGTGTACTTGATATATTTTTCATGGTATCAAAAAATAATAGAATAGTGTATGGTTTCCATTTGAAAAAATCGTGTTTCATCAGTTTTATTTCACATTTTTTTCACATTTTCAACTGTTACTGTCTATGAGTTTTGATTTTTTCGGGGTGGTGCTGTAACTGTAAAATTTTTAAGAAAAAAATAAATATCTCGAAAACTAACAAATTTAAGTGTAGGTATTGTTATACAAAGTGGGCCTGAAATGTGCTGAGAATTTCAAAAATGTAATAAAATTAAGGGCGTTCCATTTGAAATGAGGAAGTTGCCCTCAAATTCCGGTATAACGGAAAGAGACCGGAAATTGAAAATATTCTAGTTGAGCAGGCCATTTTGTAAAACCCACTACGACAAAATTTCAAGTTTCTATTTTGAATCGTTCTCCATATATTCCTAACGAACGCTCGTCGTGAAAGACCCTGTATACTTGCTGCATGAATGTTAGATTCTTCATGAAAACTTGGTATAATTAGACTGGCAGACATATGCAACTGTAAAATCGAACATATTGTTTTATAAAGAAAATAAATACACGAATTTTTTCAGTTTCCTCATAGATTGTACTTGAAAATCTGAATCACTGAAAAATATTGAATTAGAAGAGAAATAACTTTAACAAATTAAAATCTAATAATTGGCAAAAATACTTTCTTCAGAAGCAGAAGTCATTAATGCCTAAATGAAATTTGTATATAGGTATCGATAAAGATTTCAACCATAAAGCAAACGTAATTTTAAAACTACTAAATTTGTTCAGAAATGTTATGACAATTGAAATAATTTTGAAAAATTCAACTTGTCACTAACACTTCTTATTATTCGACAAGAAAAAAGCCGAATTTTGAATTGAAAAATGTACTTTTATTGGACTACGTTTCTAGAACCGTGTGTTTTCTCAAATCCTTGAATCTCAAAGAAATCGCAACAGAAAATTGTTTTCCTGCAAATAGGTCAGTCATAAAAATGGATCGAATGTTTTAGTAGCAGATTATCTGCTACTTGTTTTCATTTCTTCTCACAGGAAAAGGATGTTTGATTCAAATTTAGTAAACTTTTTCAGTAGAAGGTATTCTCAGTTTTCAAAACAATGTTTCAATGAAATATATAAGTGTACTTATTCTTGAAAAATAAATTGAGATTGAGAAAATTGTTATAGCAGAAAAATCTCTGACATTTTTCTTTACAGAACACTGGTCTCCGTTATGTAAGGAAGGAACACACCAGTCACCCATCGCCCTCTATGATTATTCCGCTAAATCAATGCACTACGTTCCATTCAATTTGACAGGGTATGGGAACACGTTTACAGCAAAAATGAAAAATAACGGACATTCAGGTAAGGCACAATATTTCAATCGAATAGGTTGTATCAAGATTCCATTAGATAATATATTATAACGTTTATTTATTTATTTAAAATATTTTGTCTATATTTTATGAAAAAATATTTTTTTGAAAGAACAAGAGGGCTAGACCACCTTTACTCTTGGTGACTCAACTTTTATTATACACTCATAGACAATTTGTTTCATAGCAAGGAACCTTCCTTGGGAAAAAACTCCTTGGCTTTCTAATAGGTTGTTTCAAAAGTTTTGTCAGTTGTTATAAGTATCGATCAATACCATCAGCATAAAAATTGGTTGCTCGGGATTTAATGAAGTCAACGAAGGCCGTTTTGCCTGGTCCTGATTGGCGACGGTTTGCGGGAGGTCTGGGGGTATGGTGGGTGATTTGTGAAACGTGCGGACGTGCGTTGTCGTGGAGCAGGATCAGACATCTTTTGTTGACAAGTGTCAGCTGATGACCACCATACAGTAACTATGGTGTTTTGGTGGGTTTTCGCCTTTGAAAATTTCTGGGTGGCTCATCGTTGTCCAACCACTGTTCTGAAAGTCTCCTGTTGTCGAAGGAATCGTTTTGGTTGCGTAGAAGCAAAGAAGAACAGACCTCAAAATGTGACAACTTCTGTCGATCGTTCAAATCGATTGGCACCCACTGTTAGAGCTTTTTGAACTTCTAATGCATTTTGAACTAGCAAAAATCGCATAGGAGCTGACGCCCAGTTCTTCCGCCATCCCAAGCACCGTTTGTTAAGCGTCAGTCTCCACCAGGATCCTCAAATCTTCGTCCTGGATTACTGTTGGTCGACCACTTCTAGGCTCATCTTTGATGCTACAATTTCCGGAACGAAATTTCGCAAACCAACGTCGAGCAGTGCGTTCATCAACCCTAAATGAAAATTCCATGACGTGTATGACAATATATTACAACTGATGATGTAATTTGACAAAACTCATGAATTCTGATTGGGTACAGAAAACTAATGATAAAAATTATCTAGACGAATTATGGGTCTACAAGAAATTGCAAATTGTCAATTGGCATTCCCTATATTTCTATGAATTTTCAATCAATACTATGAATACATATTCATTGAGATATAGAGCTAAAAACACATGACAATAAAAGGGAAAAAACTTTGAAGAAACAACCCTAATACGTCGTCAAACAAAAAGAAATATATAAATCCAGTCCAGGTTACGACCCCATTCAATCAGTGCAAAACTCTCTAGCCTGACTTCTATTCATACTGGAAACATATTTCCTAAGTGTGATTTTTCATAACTGATTTACAATTTTCTAGTTTTTCCACTTATTTCGTGAATAGATAAAATTTCAAATAGTGAATCTGACTGCTTAATGTGAACTTTTTTTGTAGCGGAAATACGTCCAGATTTCAAAAACAATACTCCAGAAATAAAAGGAGGGGGTCTGCCAGAAACTTATCAGATGGACCATTTGCATTTCCATTGGCAATCTGAGCACACAATAAATGACTACAGGTAGGTTTTTACCAACAGAAATGTAGATCATTCGCATACAATTTTTCATTGTGAAAAAGTTTACGTCAATGTTTCTGGATTTTTTTCGCGTGTTTACACAATCAAATAACAATCAAATAAAAATGAAGCAGATTATCAGAGAGCCTACAAAAGTTCACTGAGACAAATCGAAGAGTGTGAATCTCTGATTACTATAAACTTCTGAAAAAAGTAAATGGGAAAGCAAAATTTAAAATGGGTTTCTGATCAAATGCTTTTTTTGAGAAATACATATCACATAAGTAACTTTTCAATCTCCATATTATTACACCGTTTGTACATTTTTCAAAGGTTGGAATGAATTACAATTCATTAACAAATTATTTGTTGAAGGTAAATGCTGTCAGTCTTTTTTTCAATAAACTTTGGTTATTCAGTTCCTGATCGGTACATTTTAGGTACTATACGCTGCGCTGTTTGTTCAAAAAATCAGGTGAATTTTCATTGTTCTTGAAAAATATTCATTGGTTCATCAATTTCTATTTTCTCCCCTCAATTGTCTCACAATGCTGACCTTTCCTTGGTCTTTTCAATCTTGAGAACCAAAAAAATCACAGGGGACCAAATCTGATGAATACGGTGGCTGAAGAATGATTACGAGTGAGCAAGTGCATTATCGTGATGGAAAAGCCATGAATTGTTTTTTCGTATTTTCACACAAAACCAAAAACAACCCACACATAATCTCAATTTATTCTTTTCTATATTCCTCTAGAACAATATACAATAACAATTTATATTTTTCAGAAACAAATGCATTCATTGGCATTTTCAAAACGAATTGAAACACTTTTCGAAAGCACACACATATATTTCATTCTTAAGCAGAATGTTCTTAAGTATTTAGTATGTTATCTCTGGCCTGAGTTTGGAGATAACATATCCGGCTCCTCGGATTATAACCGTTTTCATATCTCTTTCATAAATTTCTAACGGTCTCTTGAAATATAGCAATCAATCCCCTGATAAGAGAAGACATCCATCGTGCTTTGGAGGATATTACAAGCAACCTTTCTATACGTGGATCTTGCCAAGATGACAAGACCATCAAGCATCAAGCAGACTATTGACTTTTGATTTTTTGCAATGAACAATTCTTTAATGAATACATTTCTCACTGTGACCGAAATATCTTAGACCTTGTGAATGAGTTATCACTTGACTACTATGGAATTTTTTAATATATTTTGAATTTCAATACTTATCATAAATATCTTTCAGGTTTCCTTTGGAGCTACATATTGTGCACTATGCCAAACAGTATGGAAATCTCGATGAAGCTAAACTACATGTTGGAGGTGTGGCAGTTGTTGCAGTTTTATTCGATGTAAGTTGAGAAAGGTTTTTTAAAATAGGGGACTTTTATAAAATAACTTCACCGCAAACCGTAAAATGACAGGCCCTTCAATAGCAAATAAGGAGTTTTCCACCAACAATAATAAGAAACTATCAATGTTTCCAGCGAGATTAGATAAAAACTGGAAAGGGATATGATCAATAGATTAGTATATAAGTCTATTTATTGATTACTAATGTTTCGAATTTCAAGTCCATCACTTCAAAATACAGTCCATCAAATCTATCAGTTTTTGAATGAAATTGACTCCCGATCAGCAGATCCGTTAGAAAATTTGACTCAAAATATGATGATACTCCCAGAAAAGTACCTGTTACCTACAATGCCTACAGTATTCATATCTCCTAGTTGTGGGCGATATGGAACTCATGGTCACATGTAACAAGATATATAGTCAATCGGACAACAACTGTTAACTGTTCTAAAATGGAACTGGAACTCACTTGACTAATGGTAGTTCCCACTAGCTAGTGATGCCAAAACAAACTTTGCTTCCACACGCCTGAACTGAATTACTCTTTTCAGTAATCGTTTCACCAATGAGGTTGGCGTCATCAGCAGATGGAATATACTGATATACTGAGTACTTTAAGGTACATTTCCTGATAACGCCAACTTGGTTAGTGAAACTTGTGTCTAGAAGAATGTTGCAGTTCTGGTGTGCTTGGGACCAGAATTTGTTTTGGAGTTACTTCACTTCCAGTTTTATCTTCTAATAGGTAGTGACAGATTTCAAATAATAACATAATACCTGATACTTGGTCCTCAAGACACCTCACATCTGCGAAGGCTTCAAATTGGGAAAATGATAAAGGTGACAGAAACAGTCTAAGAAGTAGAAAAAGATAGTTACAAGATACCACAATTGTCGAATTCATGCGGCAATACATTACAAGAGGTTCATAAATGACCCACTAGCCTGCTTTAATGTCAGAGACAAAGGTCCCTGGCTTTTGAACAGGATTCTCTAACTGCTGACTCCTCTGCCAATGATATATTGTTTTTTGACTTGTCCTAATAATTTTGTCAGGGTTTACGTACAAACCAATCACCAATTTCCAAATAATGAAACAATTTTTTCGAAGAAGAATCAAAAAATCCTATTTGGTCATCCAGTGGATATTCTCAATTCTTGAATCCATTGATTTTCAAGCATTCCAAAATAGTCAGTTGCAAATGTAACAGATCATGGTCGTGATTGAACTTCCAAAAGATAGTTCGCAAATGTAGAATTGATCTTCACATTCAACTACTTCTATTCTCTTTCATTCTTTGGGAAAAGGTTCTTTCCGTTCGTCTCATATAAAGTTAAGACAAGAACCATAAGTCAACCACAGTATAGTGAAGTTGGATACTCTATCAAGAAGCGATAGTAAGCTCTACATTGAAATATTATGGCGAATTCGCCAATAATATTGCGTGTTTTTTGAAAAAAGGAAGACTTGTATGTATCTAAGCAATACTACTAAAATAGACAAAACTTCAGTGCCGGGTAGATAAGGAGTAAATAAGTTGACTTGTGGTTGTTCACCAAAACTTTATATTGGCCAAACGAAATGAACGAGTTGGGTTCTCATAATACGTTTTATTATTGTTATTATTATGATCATGTGATTATTATTTCCAAAGCTTTCTCCTGACGATGACGAGGAGATTCAACCCATTTTTGACATCCTTGAAAGTATCCAAGACGACTTGAATGATCCGAAGGAGTTGAATGACTTCGTTGTTAAGCGGTTCATCCCCAGAGACCATGCCGGGTTCTACAGATATGAGGGATCACTAACTACACCTGGTTGCGATGAAGGTGTCATCTGGACAATCTTCACTCAAACCATGCCCATATCTCGACATCAGGTATTTGAACATTTTGTACATAAAACAATACTCATATAAAAGTAATTTTCTTGTACTGATCTCGGCAAATTTTGCAATCGTTAGGAAGTGATCAACCTTGTGGAATACTTCATTCAACTTCATACTTTCTGGGTATAGGTATTACACTTTTGAATGAAAAGTCTACTTCACACGGTAGATGCATTTTCATTATTTGTTATTCATACTTTTCCTAAACACCACGAGAATAAAACTTTCATGACAAAAGACCTGGAGAATATTTAGAACATAACCAATTCACCACACTTGTTGAGTTGAATCGAATAGCTTCGAAAGCTTCGAATTTTTTGTGATGCACTGTTTGGAACCTTTGGTATAGTAATAAATATTACAGGAGTTCCTGTTCTGGAGCAGAACAGAGATATCAACATGCCTAGGAACCTGTGCGACTGTATTTCAAGAGGACATTTATGCTATGAAATTGTGTACGGAGAGATTGGAAGAATCTAACCTCATACACAAGTCAATAAAAATATTCTCGGACAGTCGAGCGTCGTTGGAAGCTCTTGGCTCCTATCGAGCAACGCAACGTCTAAATTGCCTAAAACGACTCTCCTCAACAGGAAGACTTGACAGATTGTCTCTGGTCTGGATTGCTGGCAATACTGGCCTGGAAGGCAATGATACTGCCGACTCCCTTGCAAAGGAGGGTGCTGCAAGCAGCCACATCGGACCAGAACCTGTCATTGGCATAGCTTTAGGCATTGCCAAACAAAGATTGAACACCTGGATGGCAGAAAGATTTATGGACTTATGGCAGAATCTTCCTGGATTGGCTCACTTCAAGGTGTTTATTCACCCTTTGGAGCTTGATACCAAACAGTAGGGATAAACTACGATGTCTAACAAGCTTTCTTACAGGTCACTGTCATTTGACTCATCATATGCAGATACTCGGACTATCGGAAAACAGTGTCTGTCGCCTCTGTTTGTGAAATGATGAAACAGCAGAGCATATACTTTGTGCCTGCCCTGCTGGGGACTGAATCAGGTTTTCAAAGTTCGGCAGAGCCTTACTCTTACCATCTGACCTGATAGACCACTCACCATACAAACTAATCGGCTTCGTTAAGAAGCTGGGTTCATTTGGTCGAGTGTGAATAGGTGTGAGCCACAATAAACCCTTGCGGGTTGCGGTGGAGGGTCCAATAGACCCACTCACTTTGGACCTAACCTAACCCAACACCATACCGTTATTTTCAACACTTTCACACGTGTTTCAATCACCAAGTGATGATCATCAAGAGAAAGATTAGAGTACTATTCAATTTTCCTGTGTATAAATCGAGCTTATTAAATAAATCCGTTCGATGTGTATCATTCTGAAATGAAATTCCTAACACATACAATTATCAAAATCAAGCATTTAGACCAAAATTTGTTAACATTTCAAGGCGGCCATTTTTTATGCACCTCAATGTCGTTTTCACAATTATAACGATATTTTTTTCAGGTGGAAACATTCGAAAAAATTCGTACCGTGGACCACACAATGCTGAAAGAAAATTTCAGATCTTTGCAGCCTTTGAATGACAGGACGGTATACATCAAAATCAGTCCAATTCCACACCCAAGAAGTACTGCGGATACCAAAAAGGCTTCAGTTGTAGCTTACCTCATTCCCTGCATTTTTTATATCTTATTCAAGAATAATAGTTAGGAACCTCATTTTTTTAAAAAACTGAAGATTCTTGAAGTACATATGGAGAGACCAAAATTCCATACTGAGGATGGATAACTGCGATTCTAGTCTGTAATGAAGTGCCAAAGTGGCTTTGCTCATTTCGTACTAATTTTATATCACCTAAGATCATGCACTTATTTTTATGTAACATGCTCACCGATTGGTACATATAATATATAAAGATTTGCATTATATTTTTATAATATTGTTGATATATTGTAGAGTGTGAATGGAGGTGAATCACCTCTGTCTTTTCTAAGTTGAATTAGTTCATAATAAAGTCTAGTTTATATTAAATCACCTGTAATATAATTAAATGATATAATATCTGTACAATATTTCATTAAAACATACCAGATCAAAATAAACTTCTGTGTCTATTTTTCCCAAGTGAGTAGGTACCCCGTTTTTGTCTGCAGCATGGACTTAATACCCATTTACTTCTCTTGAAATATCAAGGCAGATATTTGTCTTCCAACAAACCGGGTAATTATATTTTCACAATCATCACCAAGTAGAAAAAGAAGTTTTATAGCACGTGAGTAAATATGGATATAGAAGATAGTTGAATAGAAACATACGTTCCTTAAAATTTTGTAGAAATTGTGTTGCGAAAATGATTTTGAATCCTTCGCTAGATTATAAAAGCAACGTTTTACTAACGGCATGTTTGAGTGCACTCAGGTGGACAATTTTGATAGACAATTCAGTGAATAGATATGATAATAGTAACACTGAAAGGAGTGACCATAACTCTGTCATCCAGTTGAAACCTGTTCAACAAAAGTCCATATCAAAGACGCAGATATCACTTTACTCGCAGTAACACAAGAATAACACAAGATGAAATACATCAACTCATCTAATCAATCGACCTTTGCTTTTCTTAGGTAGAATGAACTGAAGTCGAAAACTGGTCTTCCTGGATGGTGTGCTTGTAGAAGCGTGATGGGTATAGAGGTCCCTGACACCAGATGCAGGGCCTGCCATGAGACATCTTTGAAACTCCTTCCTCATGAAGTATACGTCTTGTAGCTGCAGCCAAAGATAGCAGGAGGACGAACGAAGATTGGTAATGAATTTTCCTGGATTGTTTCTATACAGTCTTCTATTGAGCGCTTCCTATTTTTGAATTTGCATAAAGCAAAGTGTGTGTAAGATATCATCGAAATTATATCTGGAATATAAGATCGTTCAAATGGCCGCCATGGCTTTTCTGGGTGAGGCGCATCCGAAACGTCTAATTTTGCAAGACTGGCGCATAAAGTAGGCTGAGTTTGACCGATAGCATAGTTATGTTGGCTCTGAGGACCGCTGTGGTTTGTGACTCATTCGAATACACATGTGACCTAACCCCACAAGAAAAAGTCTATTGGGGTTAAATCGTACGATCTTCATGGCCACCTCCACCTGAGATGATCATGCCTCATATCGCTCCGCTCGTGTAGAATATAATAATAATAATAATAATGTCTTTATTTCCAATGAAAAATAAAATGTTACATGATATTCGTCTTGTTAGTCAGAAATCCCAAGGAGGAGTTCACACTCAACCCTTGCTATTTTAAATACTTATTTATTTATTTCATTTCATTTATTTATTTGTAATACAATACTCTACAAGACATAGCCCAATTACAGAGTGGGAAATAACAGAGTATAATAAATACATCACCAACAAGTGACTGTAAAGTCTACAAACACTACAAACAATACAAACAAGTGACTATAAAGACTACACATTTTATATTTATTATAGGTGACAAAAAAAAATATTTTAGGAAGTGGGATTTTATATTTGACAATTTGCAACTAAATATATCTAAATTATCGCTAACAGAACTTGTCACTTTAGACATGGTATGGATCGGATAATTCTCCAGAACATTTGTGCGAGATGTTTTTATATAGAAAGTACTCGGGTGTCTGAAACAGATTCTAAGAATGCAAATATTAAACTTTTTTAGTAATGTTGGGCAGTCAACTATGCTTTTGATAATTTTATAGGTTAGTGCAACACTATAATATTCACGCCTATTTTCGAGACTGCAAAAGTTATGCTTTTCTAGCAATACAAAGTGGGTTGTTTCTATTGGAGGATAAATGCCATCGGTTTTTAGGCTTGACAGTTTTAAAAATCGACGTTGAATTGCTTCTATTCTATCAATGTGATATTGATAAAAGCGGCTCCACCCAACTGACGCGAATTCTAACTTTGATCTTATGAAAGCATAGAATAAAGTTTTTAAGGTCGAAGTTTCTTTGAAATCACTACTGTTAGTGCAATTAATCCCTACAAACGACAGGAGGAGGTTACAACATTATCGATATGCCTATCAAATGATAGTGCAGTGTTAAATGTGACGTCAAGATCAGTAAATGTTTCTAGTCTCACCAGGGAAACGTTTTCTATTGGATAATCAAAGATCAAGATATTCGTTTTCAAACTGTAGGACATGACCTTACATTTATCCGGGTTCAGTGACAAGTTATTTCGATAACACCATTCTACAACCCATCGTACGTTTGCTGAGAGGTTCACACAATCATCTATGTTCTCAACGAGGCAGTATAGTTTTAGATCATCGGCATATAAAAGGAAATACACATCTGCAATATCATTAAAGAATATATTGAAGAGCAACGGTCTCAGATTTGAACCTTGTGGAACACCGGAGGAAGCACTATTCGGTAGATTTGAAACCATTGAGCTGAACATATTGTTTTAGATCCCGTAGATAGGACTGAAAGAGTGCGATTAAGGATGTAGATAATCCAAAGGCTACTAGTATTCATAATATAACTTAAAGACTAACCTAACTAATCCTAAATCCTTAATTTATATAACACATTTGGCATTTGCCAATGTGGCATAAGCTATTTGCACGTAGCGCCGTCCTGTTAAAACCACAATTGGTTGGTGTACAGATCATCCAATTTAGGCCAAGAGATATTGGTGAACATTGACCTATAGTGCTCCCCGTCGACAGTGGTGGCCTGGCCAAGACACCGTTCTCAAAGAAATATTGACCGATGGCAACCCAGCCCAAAATCCATACCAAACAATTACTTTTTCGGGGCGCATTGGACGCTCTTGGATCTCATGTGGATTGATGTCGTCCCAAATTCGACAATTTTGTTCTTTCACGTACCCATTCATCCTGAAACGGGCCTCATCGCTGACTCAACGAGGCAGTATAGTTTCAGATCATCGGCATATAAAAGGAAATACACATCTGCAATATCATTAAAAAATATATTGAAGAGCAACGGTCTCAGATTTGAACCTTGTGGAACACCGGAAGAAGCACTATATTCGGTAGATTTGAAACCATTGAGCTGAACATATTGTTTTCGATCCCGTAGATAGGACTGAAAGAGTGCGATTAAGGATGGAGATAGTCCAAAGGCTACCAGTTTGTTCAGTGGAATGCCAAATATTCATAATATAACTTAAAGACTAACCTAACTAATCCTAAAACCTAAATTTATATAACACATTTGGCATTTGCCAATGTGGCATAAGCTGTTTGCACGTAGCGCCGTCCTGTTAAAACCACAATTCGTTGGTGTACAGATCATCCAATTTAGGCCAAGAGATATTGGTGAACATTGACCTATAGTGCTCCCCGTTGACAGTGATGGCCTGGCCAACACCGTTCTCAAAGAAATATTGACCGATGGCAACCCAGCCCAAAATCCATACCAAACAATTACTTTTTCGGGGCGCATTGGACGCTCTTGGATCTCATGTGGATTGATGTCGTCCCAAATTCGACAATTTTGTTCGTTCTTGTACCCATTCATCCCGAAACGGGCCTCATCGCTTCCTCGGATTATTCTGCACATTCTCACAGACAGCGGCGATGTTTTCGGCAAATCTTGCGTTTCGTCGACGAACGGGTGTTATTCGATCATTTACTGAACCAGTGGACTCAAATTCATCCACCACATTGCGAATAGTCCTCTCGGTAGGACGATTATGGCGGCCGTTAAATGGGCGAAGCGCGCTGTACGTTGCCCGAACATAATACTCATTTTGATAAAACAATTTCTGCATTTGCACATGTTGTTGAATACAATAAGATAGCTGTTATCAGTTGTCAAAGTTCGGGAGTCCCTATTGGGAAACCCCATAGTAATCGTGTTACACGCATAGTTCTATTTCAACTTGAGATTTGGAAAACCCTTGTATCGAGTGTTTGCAAGAAGTGTGTAGGGTGGCTGGGAACGCCTTCGTTTCGCTCAGCTAACTCTAACAAACCAAGGTCATTTGAGTGGATAGTATGGCGATCTAATAGAAGTTACACTTTTATAGTTGGTTTCGGAAATGGATTCGAAACCAGATTCGTAAATGTCGGTATTCAAAGATGATTTCTGATTCATCTCGTAGTGGGACCTTGAAGACATACTGTCTTCCATTCGGCCTTCTTATGATTTCCTCTGAAGATGCAAAATGAATGCAAGAACACGCCAATGCCATTCACGCACGTTATCACTGTACCCAGAGATGCCTCTGGTCCTAAAGACAGCTTTTTTTTGTCAGTGATCATTTTTCGAGCGTTGTATTCGAAATACTATAAATGTTAGTTGCAGAATTTACCGCCAGCTTTTTATTCTTCACAGATGCCATAGCTTTCAGTGAATTTTCTTCATTTCAGACACCATTGTGTTCCCTTCTGTGAGCCGTAGACATCATGTATCTAAAAAAAACAACAATCCGTTGGAATAACATACATAGATAATATACATAGATGAGAATATACTGTTCGAGTCTATATGGACGTTTCAGACAATTCGATCTGAGAGTAGGTCATTGTGTTCAAAATGGGGCTATTAGTACTTCAAAATATTAACAAAACGATCCATTTCTCTCGAACGTCAACTGGTCTCTTCTTTGCCATAGAGGTAAGTGGACCAGTTTATTGTCGCAATGAGGAATTCATATCCAATCTGAACTCTGCAATCCAAGA